TATTTGACTTGAAAAAGAAAAAGGGTGTATTTGTTTGTGAAAAAAGAAAGACATAAGCTGGTAGTGATATTGTGATAAAATCATAAAGGTATTTTAATAAAATAACTTTTATTTGTGGTGTAACTCTAAGTCTAAATTGTTGTTTTAAAGTCTTAACTTTTTAAATTTATTGTTGTAATGTTTTCTTAGCCTTTTTTTAAAAATTATTGTTGTAATTAAAGTGTTTTTGATTATCGTAGTACAAGTACTAGGTCCAGTACCAGCAGTAGTCTAGTCTTACTGACGTTAGTATTGTGAAATTTAGCACTGTTTGTTAACGTTTTTTCAGATGCCGACTCTGTTGGCAGATAATTATCCATAAATATCACACATTATCACTATCAATATTATACATAATTTACAATTCAGAAGGGGTGTGTCTAATCAATCTCATTAATTATCTTGCTGCAGGGATCTAATTTGCCTAATTCTTGTGTTCAGGTTCAGTGTGAAAATACTTACTCAGAAGCTTCAACTTAAAAACTGTAGTCATCTTTTTCCCACTTATTTGATGAAGTAGCTTTGATTCAGTTATCACCAACATATGATCATCTTCACGTTCAATCATCTCCTCCATCTAGCTATAATAGTGGCTGTTATCCTTACCCTCGTGCTCACCCTCAAATTACTACAAATTGGTTCTTTCATCATTGGATTCCCCTTTTCACTCTAGTAGATTGAATGTGTAGTTTATGTTTCAGGAAATGTTTATTTAAACATTGTATATAACACAAGACATTTCATAGACTGGCCAAATGACATACATCCTGAGTGGCAAAGACATTGTTCTAAAATTCTACAGAATAAATTAATACAAATAATTTATCAGTACTACTAATAATACAGCCTACAGTACAGGTCCATGTAAATTGTATGATATCACCTGTATGGTGTTATGTGAACAAACTGCCCTACTCCCAGTATTCTTTATTACACTATATATATCTCTGATTAAATAATTATGCATTGCAGCTCAACATACATGGATGTCACTTTGTACAATACTTAACACATTTCTCTATGAAAAGTAGATCAACAGTAAACATATTGTACATTGTACAGGATTAAGCTCAATGTCAGTCATCATAATATGACATCATAGTTTGATTTGTACTAGTGTCTTAGGCCTTGGAGGAGAAGATTGCTCATAAGTTGAGTAGTAAGTGGTTGTGTGATAATGATAATTAGTAATATTTGTGAGAATGACTTGCCATAAGATGCCCACATCTGGAATAATAAATATTGACGAATGGTGTTTCACAGTATACTAAAAGTTATTAGTAATGCTGGTACTTTCCATTATACCCCACAATTTGAATAACTTTTAAATATATATATATAAACATATAAATATACATTTTATTCATATAGTATATGCCCATAATAAATTTCTAAAAGTATATTTAATAAGCATTGTATTCATATAGTAAAAACTTAACATTTGCAGGGGTTTAACCAAAACAGTACCGTAATACTAATAGCATTATCAAACTGGCAATAGTTTACTAATGCTATTAATATCACTAATAACTTTTAGTGTTGGCACAGACTGATGCAAAATTTAAGAGTTAGTGCTCAATTTCTCAACAGGGGCCTACCAGTAAATGCTTCTCTACTACTAGTACTGTTACTTATTTGCCATCTAAGCTTTTTATGAGTAACTTTAGACCTGCTACTTATTTACTATTTTTAATATTAATATTAGCATTGCTGTAATTTTCTCAACTTTAAGCCTCTAAGCAAGTTAACTTTGACTTATGTTACCAGTTCCTAATTATATTTTTGGTTTAATTTACAAGTTACACTTGAGTTCTGTTCTGTAGTTTTTATAAATATTAATTAGAGCTATATAAACTATACAAGTAATTTTCATTTTAAAACTAAATGGATATGTAAATCAATACAACAGTTTTGGTACTAATGTATAGACATAATAGTTTAATACACTAAACTTAGACTTAAAAGTTATAGCAAGATGATATGTAACATTTTTAATTTTAGTTGTATTTGTATCATCACAGTGAACTTATTTAAAACTGGTATAACTCGGTGACAAGTAGTAAATCAAATGATATACTGGGCTTCATATTTATTCTTAGCATCCTAAACAGCACATCTGCTAAATATTTTAGAAGAATAATTTGCATCAATGCTACATATTCTTTAAATCACATCATCTATATATTGCAAACTGTGATGTCTGTCTCCCATTTGAAATGCTGTGCATGCAGGAAAAGCTCAACATTCACTTTTGAAATGACAGGAAAACAGGCATGGATAATGTTGATGCCAAATTTTATTTTGCAAGCAGGATATTCTATACTAAATTGTTAGGAATTAATTACACTATCATTGACGTTTCAAAATTTGACGTAACTTAAAGAATAAGAATGTAAATTTACCATGTGTTATTGCTGAGTGGCTCTTAGCATGCTCAAAATGCCCAAACAATTACTTTTTGCAGTGGGCGGTATAAGTAGCTCAGAGCTTTGGCTCTAAGTGAAACACAATTAACTTTTTTAAAGTCCATGAAGTAATTTAAATTGATAGATTAACTTAAACTTTTTCCGTCACTGGGGATGGGCTCTTTTGCATGTTTATATATATGTTCACTGAGGTGAGCAAAAATGCAAAACACTACACATATATTATACAGTCCACTAGTATAAGAAGCCTAGTCTTCTTTTATTGATATGACTTTGTTTGGGGCTACTGATGAAGGGTGGAATACTACAATATGCTTTCTTAATTTGTTTCTTTTATAGCAAGAATGAACTGATCAGTGTGGGACCCATGAAGCTGTATTAGGAGTTTATGTTAAAATGATAAAAAAATTAATAAAATGAAATAATCAGAAATATATGTTTTAGTAGATATTACTTAATTAAAAGCTGTGAATTTATAATCACAAAATCTTTCTTTGCTGAGAAGGTGTACTAATAAAGGATGTGTAGTTAAGGATGTGCAGAAACTGCATTTGTAGAAAGTTCCAATAGGAGTAATCATGTCTATAAACAAGCACATCATAATGTTGTATGTACGGTGACTTGGTGGGAAAAACCTTGCATTCAGTAATTGTAAACACATCAGTGACTATGAACAAAGAGCCATGTGATTTATTCTCAGTGATGGTCAAACTATCAAACTGCATGTGTGGATTGCCCTCAAAATCAAAATATCACATGTTGACAAGCATAACCGTCATAATGGACAAACTATATTGCAAAGTCCCTCTGTTTTAAATAATGGATAGACGGGTGACACATGCCACTAGCCTGATTCGGGATTTATGACATTTATTATTATATAATTGAGAAGCCAAGTATATGCATCAGAGAGACAATGAAGGCATATAAATCACTGGATGCATACATCATAATTGTATGCATATATTACTTGCCTGTATTAAAAATAATATGTAAATATTATTTTTTATAATTCATATAGGAGCCATTGAACTATCGTGGAATACAATGACATGAATAGATAAATGCAGATGGACACCCAGTTTTAGCTATCACTGTATAATTAATCTATTTGGTGCATATGTAAGCATATGCAAAAGTGAATCAGTTTTTCAAATAATTAGTGTTAAAATGTAGTTCATTATTTTCTCTATGTACAGTTTATTCCTTTTCTTGAAGCCATTTGGAAGCTGTAAGGACAGGATACTGTGGTTACTCTTAAGGTGAAACAACCTAATAATTTATTTATGTCAAAATATTTTAGAATTTACTTCTTAAAGTCTGTTGGTCCAATAAATGAACTTGTATTTGAATTAAATAAAACAAGTATATATATAAAACAGTCAAAATTATATCTATAGAATCCATTACACATTGCATTATACATGGGCCACTGTATCAATAATATTCATTTTTTATGAGCACTGTAGTCTGTTATAGGTTACTATATATATATATATATATATATATTCAACATTGTAATCCTGGTAAACTAGTGGTACAGTGGTGGTGTAATTCTACCAGTGCTTGACTGTTAGTTTTTTTAGTCAGTGATGATCTTTAGTACATTATTAACATCAGGCCCAGCTTTTTTTGTCCATTTACGTACGTTTGACATATTATTATGCAATGGTATATCTGCAAAGTAAATATTAAGTAAAACGTATTACTTCATAAAACAACTATGATAAACTTTCCAAATACTTGTTATAAACTGTGACAAATTTGACTACATATTCTCTTTGCTAAAACAATTTTAGTAGGAAATAGATTTAAATTTCTGAATGATTATATGTTGATGGTATACCTTTAATATTTAGCATTTGGAAAATTTAGATTGTTGTAGGATTATTTCTCTTTTCTTAACTGAATGCTGTTATACAAATATTTGTTATTTTACTGTTTTATTTCACTGCATATTTTACAGTGATTTGTTTATATTATGTGATTAATGTTGTTATACATTTTTTTGTTATCTGATGTTATTAAATCTGGTGTGACCACATTTTGCGCACTTAGTAGGAGCAATGTGGCAGTTATTTTTTTAACTGCTATAAAATTCCAACCACGGACTTGATCATTGTTTTTTAGTTGCCAATCTTGCCTGCTCACTGCTCTAATCCATTTTCTTCTATCAGTATCTTGTTCTGATGGAAATCTATGAAAAGAAATCCTACTCTCCATGTTACACCTGTTTGTGTACCCCACAACAACACATAATTGCAACATTGTTCAACAACTCGGGGAAAAAAACTGAAACAAACTCAAAGATGCAGTCATAAACTTTTAGTCAACTAATACTGTGATCTCATGGCAATTATAATGTGGTTATAAAGTTTATAATTGCATTGGTTAAACTGTCCAACTCCTTTCTAGAGAGCTATGTATTCCAGTTTTCATAGGCTTAAGTTTTATTACTTTTACTTTTTATTATGTTCATAATTTTGTCTCATATTTAACTAACAATTTTCTGATATTTTTAGATAGAGAGTCACAATGCAAGCAAACAGTGAATCCAGAGGGTCTTGTAGTCTTGGGCCTTGTTTGTCTCCAATTGTGCGGCTCTATGTTTATGGAATCCATGGATATTTCACAGAAGTAATGTTTACAGCAGCCTGGGAGTTTATAGTTAATGCTAACTGGAAGTTTCCAGGTTGTACTAGTGTGTGGTCACTTTTTATTTATTCTTTCTGTGGGTATGCCATTGAACAAATGTATCTACGTCTTAAAGATCGTGTTCCCATCTTACTTCGAGGACTAATCTACCTCATATTTACATATTCTTGGGAGTTCAGCACTGGATACATTTTGCGATACTTTAATGCATGTCCTTGGGACTATACTCCTTTTGATTTTGATGTGGTGGGGCTGATAACACTGGAGTATGCACCACTGTGGTATATAGCAACCCTGATTCAGGAACAGATGTTGACAAAGAACATTCTACTGCTGCAATGGAAAGTGTGCTCTGCTCCATTCCACGACAAGTGTAACTGCTGTCATTGTCGTGGTGATCTTGCAGACTGTGGCATCGGGAATGGGAGCACGATGACAAATGGATTGAAGAAAAAAAAACGAGTAGCATTAACTTCTATATGATTATTGTTACAAATTTTTAAATAACACACATTGTAAATCATATTTTCTGTTCAAAAATTGCTAGCCCTTGCTAGAATGGAATTGTGCCTTTGGCACTCGAATGCCCCCTTGCCATGTAAGTCACCAAATAAAATCCTCCTCCTCCCCCAGAAAACAAATTCTGAAAGAAAATCCCTGTAGTTAAGTATTTCTAGAAGTAACATATTTTGTAAGATAATCATTGAACCTTTAATAAGAAGGTTTGAGTAAATACCATATGTTACAGTCAGATATTTGAACTTTGGAGACTTACAACTGGTATTAACCACATGTTTTGCAATAACAATTTTTTAAAGTAAACAATACATAAATTACAGAACGGAGGAATTTCAGTTTTATAGGGTACTTATAAGCTGTTATATGCTGTAGAAAAATAATAACTTTTAGTTTTATTCAATACTTATTTATTTGTACACATGAATACTTGAAGCAATGAAATAAGATACATTAGAAGTACAGAGTTTACAGAAAGAATCAATGTAAGCTCATTGCTGTATAGTAAGATTTAAATACAAAAAAGCTAACTATTATGCGCTGGTCAAAGTCAGAAGTTAGTTTAGATTATACAAGAAAAGATGTTACACTCTTTTTCTGTACAAAATAGACATGAATAGGAAAGTGTACATGGTTACAATGGTGGTTGGTCACAAGTTCATTCAGAAAGTGTTAAATGGAAATTCAGTATCACATCCTTTCCCATGCACATTTATACATGTAAATGTGTAAATATTATGTGAATATTTAAGAGTTCACCTTTTGTACACAGGTATAGAAAACTATTTTGTGCAGGTGTGCTATATATATCATATATATATATATATATATATATATCATACTTGCAACATGGTTTTCTATAATTTTTCTGTAGTATTATTTGGGTGTTTAATTTTATGGTCAGAAACCTGGTCTCAGCTATAGAAAAAATGTCTTTCACACAAATTAATTGTTTGTTTTTTAATTATTGAACTGTATGAAGTATCACAGTGTAAATTATGAGAATCACTTATTCTATATCAAAATGTATTTCAACTGTATTCGATACAATTACATTCTGAGTAGTTAAATTAATTTTCTAATGTAAGATATTTTTAGAGTAAATTGTTAAAATATAAATATACAATGTATATGTTTTCTTGACTAAAACTAGCTCTGTTACTCATAGATTTTCAATGTTATTTTATTTCTTGATTATGTTATCTTAATATATATATATATACACACACCTACCTATTCCACTCAATGAAAAAAAAGTGAAGGTTTTTTTTTGTAACTTTGATTTGTCATTGTTTTAGTGGTATGTTAATAATAATAGTAAAAAATCACAAGGTGATTTGAATATTTTTTTCTATTTAACAGACCTTAGTTTGTGGTATAACTTATTCCAACATTTATTGTGAAACCTAAGTTAAATCTGTATGATTTTTGTAAAAAAGTATTTTATTTATAGTTAGTTTTTGAAAATATAGTTTTGTAAGGAACTAAGTTATGATTTATAATGGCTGGAGATGGCTTGAATATAGTAAATATAGAAAGTTATTCATGATCTATGATAAGTTGCGTATCCATTGTTTCTCATCATTCCTGTAGTCTGCAACTATACAGGCTAAAAACCCTGAAATTCTTGGTTCAGTTCAGTTAAGTGTGGTAAAAAATGTAGGTGTAGATGACAATTGGAACTGACTTCTTCTGGGAGGTTTATGTTCTGCAATTATAAAAGCATTCGAAACACATATTTTTAGTTTTTTGAAGGAAAGTGTATCTATAGTGCTGGACCATATTAGTAAATCATGGGAAGTTGTGATTCCAGCTTGAAAAAAATAACCATTCCATAACTGACTTTGTTGAAATGTTGTACATTTGCTGTTATGTTAAACTTATGTTAAAGTTTTTTTTCATTACCCATTCAAGCCGTCTCCAGCCATTATTAGTCTCAAAGTGGGTTCCTCGTCACCGAATTTAAATTGTGATTTTTAAAGTGATTTTCACGGTAGACTTCCAACCTTTTTGTTCATGTTATTTTCAATTTATATATTCTGTTTTTACTAGTATGAAAACCCCTAGTTTCACATCCAAAATCTTTGGTTAACCACAATAATAAATATTTCCTAACAGAGATTTGATTAATATTTAATTTAATCTCAGTTGCAGTGAAGTTCTGATTTTCAATTTCAATAATCATGAGCTACAAAATTTATGTACACAAGCAAGCACAAACTTCAAACTCTCTGTAGACCTAATTTTCACTCACAAATGCGATGTATCAATCTCATGACTTATCTATTTCTTAATGTAATGAGAAAAAGTGTAACAGATTTAATAATTTTAACTTTGATCTCCCTTTGAATTCTACATTTTGTCAGGATAGTTTGGCAAAGAAAAATTTGTTTTGATATATTTTGGAAGAAATATGCAGTAAGTTTTTTACCTGTTAAAATGCCCTTTGCTTTTGTCTGTCCTTTTCTAATATGTCGTATGATTGTTTAACCATGTTAATGTCTCATAGTTTTGTGTTAAAATGCCCTTTGCTTTTGTCTGTCCTTTTCTAATATGTCGTATGATTGTTTAACCATGTTAATGTCTCATATTTTTGTTTCTCTGCCCCAAACATGTTAAAATATGTGTGTGATATATGTATTTTACCATACTTCATAAGATTGTTGTTAAAACTTCATCCTTTTGTTTATTCTAATCAATTTACATGATAAATTCAATAAGAAATCTGAGTAACCTATATATTGGATATTGCTTATCATAACAGCTTACTGATTACTCACAAAATCAGTTCATGGCTGGTGTGTCTTTTTGTTTTCAGAAGGACCTCATTTAGCTAGATTTTGAAGAAGTTCATGTTAAGTATTAGGTAGTTTAGGTTTAAATGGATCTTCTTGAATTAAATGCATATAGTTATATGCAGTTGATACATTTGTTGGAAAATGAAGTGTGATAAAGAATATTAGAGCCACAACAACAAATATAAGCATCTTTAATGAGTGTTTCAGAAGTACACATATTCCATCTTCAGCAAGTCTATGAAAATAACAAATAGCTCTTTCTCTTTTTTTTCATTTAATGTTTTATAATTTAATAACACTATTCGTTGTATTTTTATATTAGTAATTATACTAAAGAATGTTCAATTTGTTATTTTCATAGACTTGCTGAAGATGGAATATGTGTAATTCTAAAACATTCATTAAAGATGCTTACAATTGTTGCTGTGGTTCTACTATTCATTATTTAGTTATATGATTGATATTAAATCAGTTTACACAAAACTAGTATTAATAGACTGTTTTAGTGATTATTTTTTATATAATTGAAATTGGAAACTACTGTCACATGCCTCAGATGAAAAACTATGTGGGCAGATATTATGTGTCCTGTGTTTTTCAACATAATGTTCTCTCAGCAGTAACTTGTCTTAAGTAATTCTCTCTCTTTTTTTCTTTAAATAATATTTTCTTTTAACATACATGCACTACATGTATGTTAGCATTTAATTTCTTCAGTTCTAAGCTGTTTTATTCATTCTGTGATTCTAATATTACATGCACTTAACCAGTAATTCTCAATAATTCAACTTAGTTATTGATCAAGTCTAAAAACTAGTTTCAAGATGTGGCTTCTCTTTTAAGTACACAGACTAAAGCTAGATGTTAGGCTAGTCGTTATAAGTTAGTATAGTCTATTTGTAGTGAGTATAGGAAATGAACTACAAATAGCATGTATTTCTCACATGCAAACTTAGTTTAGTCTTACATAATTAGTTTCTGTGATATGTTCTTGCATCAATACATCCACCTGGAGGTAGTAACAGTCATTGTATTCTAGGTCAGTCATATTTCATATTTCCATAACATATTGTCTAAGCTAGAGAACCAGGTTATTGCATAATGAACAATTTGGTGTAGATGTAAGGAACTGTGATACCTAAAGTTCTTGTTTATTTCTCTTTGGAAAACCTACTAGCATTTGTAGCCTCTGTCCAGAGAAATTGCTGATGTTTATTTAAGATAGGCATCAGATGTTAAATTTGCAACTATTACAATGTATGTGAACTTATACACGTACATATAGCATTTTTAGCAATGAATTTTTTTCCATTTTTGACAACAATGAAAAATTCTTATTCAAAAATTAACATCAATAATTTTTCTTTTTATTCTGTAGCAGTTGTTGAAATATGAGGTATTTTCTTTCAAAGGAAGTTATTCCTTTTTTTCTTCTTCTTTCTTTTACTGCTCTTATATACAGAATTTATTACTATTTTATCCCAACACATTTTGTCCTTTTACAAATAGTTAACATGTTTTGAAAATAATGTAAGTCAACAGAGATGGCTGTTCATTTGAACTTTCAAGTGGATCTTGTTAGGCAACAGAACTTGAAGAACAAGTTTTTATAAAGAATGTAGAAATGTGAATTTTCTTTCGTTCAGCTGTTAGATAAAGTAGTTATCTTTAAAAAAATTAACATAAGGACTGTTCATAATTTTAATGAAATGTATTAAAGATGACAGTACAAAATTAAATTAGATTCAGTGTAGATTTCATTGGTCTGCACTGCAGCATTATTAGATAACTTGCTTAAATAACTTTGCTTAGAACAAACTCTAAACATCATTCTGCATTAGTATGTAGAAAGGAGACTTAATATATGAGTTAAGTCTGTTCTGTCTCTCTAATGTTTTGAAGGATGGTCATTTTTCTGTAACTTAGAAAAGTTGTTAGTTACATAGTATGTATTTATAGTCATCAAGGTAAGGTGCTAATAGAAATACAGTGTACTTTCTTACACCATTGTCTTTTGTAAAAGCTACCAGTTTATCTACAAAGATTTTCCTATTTCAATTTTCCATTATGTAGAACACAAAATTTAACTCTGATGAATATTTTATTTTTTTATATGTATTTCCTTCAAGTGTTGTGTATAATAAATCACAGATTGATCCAATTTTCTAA